ATCAGCACGAACAATCAAAATGAAACATTATTTCGTACAGCTGCATTTAAATGAACATTTCAGCAAGTGACAGTTCTGTACCGCAACAAAACCAGTCAGTCACTGCTTAGATTGTTCCGTTTATGCTCACTAACTTCAGTGATGCGTAATCAACGTTATGTGAATGGGTGAAGAATATGTTGAAATTTTCATGACATCGATATTTTAGAGACTGAAAACTGACATATTCATGTTACAAAAAACACGCAACCATGCAATATCGATTAAAACGCAAAGGAAAGGCGAAAAACCGTTGCTAGAGCATTTTTAATCTATTTTAGTCGCTTGTTCATCTCAACATCGTTCGCCCGTTAACAACAAAAAAATCCACTGAACCGGCGTGCAAAAACCACTAGCGTTTATGTTTTGTCCGAAGCACCATTGCAGCTTTCTTAAAAGGCCAATGCTGATTTATCAGAGTCACAACAGAATGAAATCAATAAAAATATTTTTATCCTTTCGCTGGCATTCGTCAGTCGCCAATCACTCAAAATGGTTCATCCTTGTATCTGGCAAATACTTCGTCACCAACTCTTATCATACCCGGTTCATTGATACCCATATTAACACCAAATATGGGACTCTGCTTGTAGATCAAGCGCATCTTCCCTTCTGGTGCTAAGCGATATCTGAAACGTGTGCCAATTTAACGAAGTTCAAACTCATAGTCACACACGATCATGAATTCAATTCTAAGAAACTAAGTGCCACCAACCATTAAAGAAAATGGTTTTACAGTTCAGTATATTCTTTAAACAACGCTGGAACATTCATCGAAACGACGGGAATTCTCAAAAAGCTGTGGTAAATAAATTTTGGGTTTTCAGTGAGGTTCACATCGCTGAAATTTTAGATTTGTGAATTGCTGATACTGATGGTAAAGAATCTATTCGATAGCGAAATACGAAACAGATGTGATGAAATCGATAAAGATCTCAACAAATAACGTGTATCAGCTGGAAAGTATAACAAACAACGTACTCTCGTAGCATTTGTAGTGGCTCTACATCCGGATCTTTTTCACCTGTTGACGGGTCAACGGTCACGAGGATACCCCTGAAATGACGATCAAATGGCCGATAATTCATTCCAGATTACAACTAATGGTCCTTTCGAGCCACTCAGCTATTTTTTGCAAAGAAATTAAAGTTGAGGATTGGAAACAGGCAATGTTACGCTTATTTGGAATAACTTACAACAGCAATTGCTAATGTACATTTATTTGTTCAGTTGAGATTCATTACAAATGCTCACATTGAGGAAACATGAGCTTTTCAGAGGTGTTAGACTAATGATGCCCTCATGTTCTGAACAACACCAACGACTCATGCCTACCTCGCACATGGTTTATAGATTTCGAATGTGGCACTGCCAATTTTCAACTCCATCCAAAGATCCTCATCAAACGCTGGACATCCATCCACAACGATACTTGGACGAAAATGACGCGTGGTTATCTGCACTTCACTGTCCTCAGGGTAACGTGAATTCAGTTCATGCAGCGATGCATTACTGAATGCCATATAGGATGCCAAGTCCACAAACGCTATCTGAACAAACAAAATCAGTCACTAAGCTAAGGGAATTTGAATGAGTGCGATCTTAGATGAGTTCTACCTGAACCGTTGTCATTTTCTTGACGAATTTCGCAGATCAATAAAATAAATGAACAATTGCAAGCATCATATGGTCAGTTCTCTCAGTTAAAGGCGCAATGGAACAATCCTCAGGATGGCTAACGAACTTCACAGTGAACAATTCATAAATAATACTTCATAGCCCTTAAGTAAGACTTCAAAAATACGAATTCTTCAGTTATTTTAGTCATCCACTTGATATATTCAGTCTCAGCAAACACTATCATGAGTAGTTCATCATCTTGATGTATCTGCGAAAGACCAATGAAATTCTCGTGCTCACTTCATCGTCTTGTGTCGGTGCCCACCCGCAGAACCATCGCATTCGTCGTTGACATGAGCGCTCTGTGTAAAGGCCATCTTTGAAGTAGATGAGTTCAAGCGAATTCAAATTCTCCATTTGAAGCACTTTGTCTAACCATTCGCCCACTTCCTTGCCGCAGTCAAAGCCTGTCTGCGTTAAGCTACCGTGTAATCTGAAAACAATGCAACATCGCCCACCCGTAATATCAATAACGCTCAGTCATTTTCTTCACCGTGTTACGAAAGCTGAAAGTCGTTCGAGCACTAAACTCTCGTCTTCATTTAAATCAATCAGTGAACTGAAACCTACTAATAGTGAAATTAGGAAGCCTTCAAGAAGATTCGTTAGATATGACAATGGTGATTAGCTGAACGCACTCACATAACAGTATTTGTTTTGTTCGCCTCTACCACTTTCTCAAGATCGATCTTGATTGCCGTGCTTTCGGGAGTTGTTAACGTGAGGATGTTATCACGAATATCGCAATCAATGAGCACAATCCTCGGATGCGTACGTGACG